TAGTTGCGTTTCAAACATACCTTTTTTGTAGCTCTCATTTCGATTTACAAAAAAGGTCTCAAGAAAAATTCCTCTATCTGTTCTAGATCCTGAGATATTCATCAAAAACTAACCCCCGATAAAATCATTTTCGTGAGAAGACCCGGTAAACCGCAATTCTAACCTCGCTTCGCTCGGTTTGATCGCGGTTTACGGGCCTTCTGATGAAAAAATGCATTCATCGCACGGTCCAAAAGTATTTTCTGATGAATGTGATTATAGGCCTCGCCTTCGGCTCGGTCTACAAAGCCACATTCGTCAGAAAATACTTTGTGGACCTTGTGATGAAAATAACTATTTATCTCTTCGCTAGTGAATTCTATAATCAGGCCATTACGTCAAGGTTTTTGAGGTTGTAGCCCACTGGCGCTCTAAAACTCCATCAATCTATACATAGAATCGAAATATGGGCCAAGATGCACTCTAATGACGTGTTCATAATCTTGAAAAATGAAATTCAGAAAATGACACTTTTTCGGATAATGATCCATATATTCGGATTCAATCATGAATGGTTAAATTTTCGGAGGTAGCAAAGATTTTTTAACTTGCCGACCCGAAGGGAGGAAATTATTGTAATGACCCCGAAAATCGAATTTGGAATTTCCATGATTTCCCCACATTTCTCGGCCTCTCGAATCATCCTGAAACGTTTTTGGAGACATGTATGTATATATATATATATATATATATGTGTGTGTGTGTGTGTGTGTATGTACGTATGTGACTAAAATTTTGTCCAACGATATCTCCTGAACAAATGAAGCGATTCGAATTTTCTTTTTCAATCGATGCGTTTTGATGTAACTTAGAACTGATTAGATTATGAGATCGATCGCCTCAGAGGTTTGTCAGTTATTCGTATAAAACATGTGAAAAATGACGATTTCGTGAAAATTCAATGATTCTATCCGAAGAAATCTCATCATTCTCTTTTTTTTTATTTCAATCGATGCGTGTTCTTTTAACTTAGGAGTGATCAGTGTATGTAGGCGACCGTGTGAGTGGTTTACTAGTTATTCGCATGAAATATGTGTGAAAATGACAAAAATTCAAAGATTTTATGCCGAGAAATGATGTGATTATTATCTTTTCTTCAATCTATGAGTGTTAAAAAAAACTTCGAACCGATGAGTATATGAAGACGATTGCCTCAGCAGTTTCTTAGTTATTTGCATAAAACATGTGAAGGAATGACAATCTCTTCAAAATTCATTGAATTCACCTAGAAAAATTACTTCATTCGCATTTTACCTAAGGTAACGATGGGATTGGAATTAATTTGGTGTAATCCATGCGTCTCCACATAACTTGATTCTCATTGGATTTTCAGCAAAATTGCCTCAGTGGTTGTTGAGTTTTTTAAATAAAATTTTCGAATTTTGCAATTAAAAAAAAGGGAAAGTTGGAAAATTATAGAGTGGGTCAACTTTGAACTTACAAAATTTTAAAGTGGGTCAACTTTGAAGTTGCAAATTTTTTAATGGATCAGCTTCGGAGTTGAGAGAATTTTGAAGTGGGTCAAGTAAAAAGTTGGTTTAACTGAAACTTGATTGAAGTTTGAGTTAAATTAAATTGCGAATGCGTTCTTTGCGAAATCACCCTAAGGGTAGTGCCACAATGGATGCAACGCTAAACGCATGCAACGCATGAAATAATTATCCAACTGTTTTCCGAATATTTCTGACAATGGACTAGCGTTGCGTATAGCGTGTGCTGAATTCACTGTGGCATGACCCCAGCGTCAACAAAAACAAATGGTCGGGAAGTTATTGGTTCGACCCGGAATGGATCACACCCCATTCCACCAACCCCCTACCGGTCATACCCCAAAGAGGGTGGGCGCGAAGCGCGCGACCGGGCCTGATTTTTATCTATTGTAATGGTCACTCTCCACTGTTTGTTTTCTAGGGTATTAATATTCTGTCAAGATCCACGAACAACAAATGGATTTATGATGTATAACATGAGTTTCTTTGTAATTTATAACATTATTTTTTACAATCCAGTAGAAATATGATCGCAATAGGACTGATCATGATTTTATCTTTGTATTTATGCAGAATAAATTATTGTCCAAATGAAGGACACTTTGTACCGTCGAAACGTTGGCAGAAATGTACGATAAGTTTCTTGGATCTTCGATTACTTAATTAATATAAATAACTACGAAAATCATTTTTTATGACCATAAGTGGTTCAGGAATTGGATTTTTTAAAACAATTTTAAACGGTTTAATAAATTGAAGTAATATGGATAAAACTGATAAATAAGTTGATGTTGACATTGGCTACAATTTTACAGGTTAGATTGGCATTTTTTTGTTGATATTCTGCCGGCCCATATGAGAAGATTTATTAGGTAAATAATTATTTCTGCTAGAATCATTAATAATGCAAATTAATTATAACATTCACTACAAGATATTTCAATCATTTGATAGGCTTCGTTTATCATCTGAGGTGGTAACTTATGAAAATAGTCATGGATTATAATTTTTTGGTTGTGTTGTTTGGTCTATGTACTCGAGAACAAACGGATTGCCCTGATGAGGAGTGAGATTTATTACTCGAAATGTTATCAAAAACAGGAGAATTTTTTATGCAATTTTTTTATTATAAACTGTAACGCGTTATTTTTTATTTTGGCCGTTCAACCGTGAAAATTTAAAACGGCCAGACGAGAAGTCACATTAGCAGCGAAGCGAGAGTAAAAAAGTTATTCGTTATTGCATTTCCGTTGAATATTTCATTTTTTGATTGTATCGAGCCAATATTCTACTGCTCATCGGATGACGTCGAGGGATTTGGAGCCTGGATGGAATATACACGGGGTTGGACAGAATATTTGAGCCTCAGACAGAGAGGGTCCTGAAGTCAAGTTGTATGCGGGGTTTCGAGTCACGTCACATTCGAATGAATCGAATGATTCCCGCGTTGGAGGGAATATGGTGAACGACCGAGCAGCGATAACTGGTATAGGGACACTAGTTGTAGCTAGTGGTGTCCCAGACGACTATCTTATGTTTTGGTGGGAAAACACTGGACTGACGTTAGACGTCCAGTGAAACATCAATTTTTTCTAATAAATAACTTGAAAATTTATTGTTGAATTTATGGCGAAGTATACGAGTATGTTTTGGACTCGTGAGTTCTGAATTGGTTTGGTTGAACCAATCAGGGAATGGTCAGAAGGTGTCGTCATCGCCGATCAATCAAATTGATGTTGAAGGAGATGTCGTCGTGATTGAACAATGGAATCGTTGCCGGTTGGAGAATTAGCGAACGCGTGGGTCATTTGTACCGACTACGACACTTCTCGTTTGGACGTTGCGAGACTAACTCTATTCTTCTGGTGTTGTGTGTCACCGGAAAATTTCTGACGATATCGAGCCCTGCCGTGGACTTGAAGGGACTCATGCAAGGAGAATTTTCAACACCCGTTCATCTGAAGCGGATATATATTTTGGGTTCCACAGTACGGTGAGCGGAGAGCTGAACAGTATCCAAGTTAATTTGTATTTATTAAGAATTAGTTTTGTGTCATTTGATAAGACGCTTGGCGTATGGCGGTTTTGACGCCATTTTCATCAGTTCGATTCTCCTTTCGATTTCTTGCCCCTTGTTCGGAAGAACTGTTCTAGTTTCTCGATTTCAGTCATTTCCATTTCGCCCCACTTTTGTATTTTTGAGGCATTAGATAATTTGTTTTGAAATCCGTAATTAAATTCAGCGACATTTTCTGTTAATTGTACAATTCTCGTTTTATTTAGCTAGTTGTCGACATTCGGATGTGGATCTCTCGACAGCTAGCTGCTATTTTGATATTCTAAAATCATTCCGATATTTCCTGATGTCGGAACATTGAGCTAATTATTTCATTTTATCCGACATCAGGGTTATTTCTCTTGGGAAACGGGATTGGGATTGAAGCGTGAATTTCAACGCTCGAGTTTTCATTGTCGTGTGACCTTGTGTGGGATCACGAATTATTGTCTCTCGAGACAATCCCAGTTCTCGTCAACCGAAATTCAGATTTCTTATACATTCTGCTTATTATCGAGGCGTTCATTTTTCGGTTCCTTTCGTTGACTGATTCAGTACCGTACTAGTTATTTTCCGTTTTGATATTTCCATTTTGACTTCAATTTATCTTGACTTATTCTGACTATTGTTTTAACTTGACCAGTATTTTATTATTGACAGATTACGGTTAGGGAAAAATTTTGATGTATCGAGTCTTTAGCTTTGTGATTTGTAATTTATTATGATATATATTTTCGAGTTTGTGAGAAAAATATATGAGAAATAAGAAAGGGGGCTTCATTTGAATAAAAGCTATTTATTCCCCGTAATTTCGGATTTTATGATTCATGTGGAATAAGTTGAAAACCCAGTCATTTCAGAATTTTATAGGACGAAATTTTGTGGAACCCAGCCGCAACCGCGGTTGATGCTGAGCTGTCGGCAGTTGTCCTTTTCGTCGCGGACGTAGCTGATATTTTGAGTTTGTGATTTTTGCACGTTTCACACGTGCTGGCGCCCAACAATTTAATTTGTTGTTTTGGTCGCCGAGGGCTGCGTATCTTCGTATCGTTTCGCAGAGGTGCGAAATACGTCACAAAACATAATGTGAAGTTTAAAATAGCTCAGAACAGCGAATTGGCCTGGAGCAATAGAAAAAAATTTCAATATTAATGCAGGCGGTTAGAAAAATAATTCAGTTAAAATGTGACATGATGATTTGATTCTGTTCAGATAGATTAGCAACAGTCATTTTTAGCTCGTAGAACAACCCGTATAAAATGCCATTACCCTGTAGTTTAAACTAAACTGACGAGTCACCTGTAGATTAGCCGTACAACTCCGTCGAATAGCCGCACCGTCACATTTAATGGCTCAATATCTCTAATTTCAAACGAAATTGTATTGGTCCTTTTTTTAACAAAATGGGTACTCACGCCTCGCAATATGGCTGTTTATTGAATCCTTTGTAGGTACGCATATTTAACGTCATTCCACATCCCTGGCACTTGAAGCATTGTTTGTGCCATATCTGGAAAGTAAATGGTATGAATTAAGATATCGTTCCAATCTTCTAAGAAACTTTCGAAAATAACAGATCCTGCGAGGTTTAAGACAAGGAATGCTAAAAGATTTTAATAATTAACGGTCTAATTTAATTATTTAATAGAGTCATGAATCAATTGTACAACGGTCTCATGAATTCGATGGCTAATGCCTAACTAGAACTCCTGGCTCTCCCGTTCTCATCCATGCATAACCATACTTTCTGTCTTAACCCCTTACGTACGGGCTCCCTGCCAGCCAGTGGCCTTAGTGTAAATGGACAACTCTCTACGAAATATTTCCGAAACTATGAATAATAATTTAATCAGACAAGGAACATTGACCAGAAGAATACTGTACGTACAATTACACATCGGTTTTACGATTATCCATTCATCAAAAGCGAACAAAGCGAAAAAAGAAAAAAAAAAAAATATATATATATNAAAATATATATATATATATATATATATATATATATATATATATATATATATATATAGATTTTGCACGCAATGACAACTGGCCTCCGCTACATCAAACAGACGTAGTCGCCTCCGATTTTTGAAAATTTTTCGGTCCCCCGCGCGAAAAATACTCCTTCCGGGTTAACTACCTCTGGGTTTTAACATCGCGAAATGTGTGTGGTGTGCGTGGCGTCCTGAACTCCAGAATTGTGGAATCACCCATTTCGAAAAGTTTTGGCGTCTCTTAACCCGAAATGAGGACGAAGGTGACCAACGAAAGGAACCAAAAATACCCAAATGGGCGCCAGTCCTTTTAACCCTCAAGGGACAAGGTCACGACGTTGAAGAGCGTTCCACGATCAGCTCAGAAAAACCGCGGAGGCGTGTGAGAATAGGCGAAACAATTAATGCAGTTCAACACCATGAATTATTCGGACATAGAATAAAATATATTTTCCTCAAAATCATGAAAGAATAGAAATTTCGGCAAAATGCCAGTAAAATAATACTTGCAATTTTCGCATGTGCGGGAGAGTACTCCTGCGAGCAAAGGCTGGACACAATCCGAAATTTTTTGATTCTCCTAATTTCCGAAATGTTAATTTTCAGAAGATAATAACTGAATTTTAGAAAATTACAAAATTAAAACTTTCAAGTTATTACTTGAGAGAAATCTCTACATGCAAGATGACTCGATACCGGAAAATATTATTCAATCAAATAACTCAACAAGTAAAGCATCCCTAATGAATCAATAATTAAACTCCGAAATTAGTAATCCAATTCGCGGATCAGAATCATCAGCTAAAGACCAATAAAATAATAATTATTATTCGAGGACGTAGAAGACACTAACCGCACCCGAGAATCACCCGAAGCGCGAAGACGTGAAAGCCACACGAATAAAAAAAAACAATGAGTCCCAATTTACAAATTCGATAACGGCGATGGGAAATAATAAATAAATGTTCAATAATAAACAATGAATGAATAGGCCAAAGGCCACTGAGTGCCGCGTCCCGAAGGCAAAGGGTCGAATTCCAAAGACTCAAGCGGTGCCAAAATGGCGACCGGAAGCTAGACTTTATAGCACATGCGAGCACCCACAAAATGAATTACGCTCACCGGTGATACGCGAGAAACTCCAGGAAATACTGTTCTGGACCCTCAGATACGGCAGCGATGTCGAGAGATGGCTGGAAAATCGAGGTACAACACCAAAATGATACTAATTGAAATTATTCAATGAGCTCGAAAGAGAATAAACTTGATTGCGCAGAGCGACTTTAACAAGCTGAATCCCAGCGAAGAGTGTCCGTCGGGGCAATTCAATGTCCCGAGGAACCTGGAATTTCTTTTCTTCCCCCACCCCAATCCACCGATGTTAGCGCGAAGAATCGGCGTTCCAGTGAACTTTGAATGATGAGTTTCCAATTGGTAATTATTCGCGATTTATTAGTCCCAGAAAACTAAGACTTGCGCCTCGCGGACGGTGGAGTTGATCCACGTTGAACGGCGCAGGAACCAACATAATCCGCTGCTCCCTCGATGCTACAGCATGAGTTTTTTATGTGGTGAAATAATTTTGAGGCCTGAGTTGCGTGCTGGCGTGTGACTATCGTCTCCCGCGTGCTTGCTGGTGTGAGTCTCCACAGGCTCGGTGTGTGCGTGCTCGTCGGTATGCCAACTTGTCATCTCCCGTAGCGCCGACTTGTAGCGTCTCCCCGATGCTCCATTCCCCTCATCGCGAACCTAGCGTGTAACCTGCGGTGAGCGCAATAGCGGAAGATTTAACAGAATCAAGAAATGAAAAGAGTAAATAACAGAAAGGAATATAGAAAAAATGTGGCAGTAGTAGGTATCCCGAAATTGGGAGACAGTCCTTCCCCCCTGTTTCCCCCCTGGCGACAGTGCGGGAGAGAGACAGGAGATCCCTTTCTCTGGCCGAGTGTCGTCAGGCATGTCTGGGCTCGCTGATGGTGGGGGGAAAATCCTACGTGCACCGATGATGGGTGCGGGGACCGAGGATGATGGGGGTGGGTGTTGGGTGGATGGCTAGGAGGTGGATGGTGGGTGTCTAGTTGTTGGGTGTCTGGATGATGAGGTGGGTGGCTAGGGGGTGGGTTTTGGGGGGGTGGATGGGGTGGTTCGTGCTCGGTCTGGATAATGGAGGATGGTGGGTGGATGGATGGGGTGGTTGGTGCTAGGTGGCTAGATGATGGGTGGCTAGATGATGGGTAGCTAGATGATGGAGGGTGGTGGGTGTTGGATGGGTAGATGGGTGATTGGTGCTGGTTCTGGATGAGGGGTGCTGGGTCGAAAGTGGGCGGGGGCGATTGAAATGATCAGATAAAAATTTTATGATAATGAAAAGATAATTTACTCAAGATGAAAAAACATTATCTAAATACATGGATTTTACAATTCGGTTTCGTTATATTGCTCAGACGGTGGTAGTACGGGGAGAGGTCATTTTTTTATTTGTCTGACTTCAGTAATTGTGCAAGTAACTTCTTCCCTTTTTAGTCCATGTAATATGCACGTTGCTTTTGTGGGATATTTCTTAATGAATGAATCCCAATTACGGTGCTCCTCCATATTTTTGACTTCTCTACACAGCAATTTTTTCAAAAATAATCGGGCTTCTTCACCGACAGTATAAACAGCATGAGCACTTTTCACAATTGTTGATAATTGTTTATAAACTTTTTCTGCTGATGCCTCGCCTTCAAACCATTCAATTCCATGTAGAAGCTGCATCCGACGATTATTTTCCACCTGAACAGCTTCAGGTAAGTCGGTCAAAACGTAAGGTGGTGCGAGGACCCAATGCTCCAGAATGTTACTAGCGACAGTTGTAATTTTCAAAAAAAATTGTATTGTTTCTCAGAACAAAAATTGAAAAAATGCCGAGTAATCATTTCAATGCGTTGTTGTGAAAAAATGCCGGAGTACTTATTTATGGATAATTGTTTCTAGGAAATTGAAAAAAGTACAGAAATAAGGAAGAGCGCCAAGTTCATGAAGTTGAACTTGTGATTTTGAAAAACCACAGAACTTTTCATAACATCTAGAAAAAATTTCAGCTTTTCTCTACAGTCGACTTATACTGTTGCAAATTTTATACGTTTGAACTCATCAATGCCAACTCAATATTGTCTATTCCTGTGAGTTGCGGAGTGGGTACGACCATAAAAAGTGTGGTTGTCCACACAAAGTCAATGAAAAAGAGTGTCATACGAGTGTTTCTTTAAAAAAAATTGTTCAGAAAATTCTCAGGACCAACGTACTTGGCGTGGTTTTTTTATCTTAATGCGGATCCTTATTTGGGAGTCTATCCTTTGAGATTTGAGATCCACTTTGGGACTCAAAAATTGCTTTGAAGCATACTACACCTTGCTAGGTTTTCAAATCTTTGNGGTACGACCATAAAAAGTGTGGTTGTCCACACAAAGTCAATGAAAAAGAGTGTCATACGAGTGTTTCTTTAAAAAAAATTGTTCAGAAAATTCTCAGGACCAACGTACTTGGCGTGGTTTTTTTATCTTAATGCGGATCCTTATTTGGGAGTCTATCCTTTGAGATTTGAGATCCACTTTGGGACTCAAAAATTGCTTTGAAGCATACTACACCTTGCTAGGTTTTCAAATCTTTGGATAGTCAATTGTGTGATTGTGTTGGATGGAATTGCCGGATAGTTTAAGTTAATCCCTTAAGCTTATTCTTTTCCATTTACAAATATTTTCATTTTCATGAATTGAAATTGAATTAATTAAGGTAGTGATCGCCAGGTAGTTATCGACATTTGCGACATAAAAGCATGGAGAAGATTCATTCGATCATTGTGTCAACATAAAGCGACAACTCTCTGCAATGAGTGTTTCAAAAAACCGCGCCAAGTAGTTGGTCATGAGAATTTTCTGAACAATTTTTTTTTAAAGAAACACTCATATTGACACACTTTGTCATTGACTTTGTGTGGATAACCACACTTTTTATGGTCGTACCCACTCCGTAACTCACAGGAATAGATAATATTGAGTTGGCAATGATGAGTTCCAACTTATAAAATTTGCAACAGTACAAGCCGACTGTAGAAATAAGCTGAAATTGTTTCTAGATGTTACGAAAACTTCTGTGGTTTTTCAAAATCACAAATTCAATTTCATGAACTTGGCCCCCTTCTTTATTTCTGCACTTTTTTCAATTTCCCGGAAACAATAATCCATAAATAAGTACTCGAGCATTTTTTCACAACAACGCATTAAAATGGTTACTCGGCATTTTGTTAATTTTTTTTCTGAGAAACGATACAATTTTTTTTTTAATTTTCTTTGCTGAGAAACAATAATTTTTTTTTTGAAAAAATACAATGCTTACAAAGGCGCACTTGGCCGTTTTCAAAACAAATTTTTTTTTTGTTTTTCAGGGATTTTAATTATTTTTCCAAACCGAGTAACTCACGTCACAAAGAAAGACTCCAGATAATATGCAACATTATTTGGATTTACTTTGCTCCAAGAACAAAATATAGATATCCTTGGAGTTCTTTGGCCATTGCTTTTTGGCAACAGTTAAATCATCGACATGTATACACTCGCTTGTTTACCTTTCAAAATATCGAGTACATTCAATAGCGAAGCGGTGAACTGGGTTAAATCGATTTTGACTTTTGGCCAGTTTTTGATGAATATCTCGGAATCTGAGAGAGATAGTATTGAGAGCAACGCTAGTGAATCAAAGTCATCAGTGTGAATGTCCGTGAGAACACTTACACACTGATAAACACCAAATATTGTAGTCAGTCGTATTGAATAAATTCACTAAGGCAGAAGTGCCGATTGACGTTTATCCCGTCAGTGTACATTTCAATCGCACTCGTCAACCTTGTACTACTCGCTAATACCTCTTGTACTTGTTAGACTGTTAATTAATTATCAACATATTATGGGCCAATCGCTCCATGATATATAATTTCGTCAGTGCCAAGTCGTGCTTAGTAGTGGGGTTCAATAGAGGTGAAACCGTTCCGTAAACTCACTAAATTTTTAACAAGTAGTGAGCTAAACAGAGCCGTAGTTCCAAATACAATGGACGAACCAGGTTCGTCAACGCAAGGCACATTTGTTGTCAAGAAATTAAATTGAGACAATTACAGCACATGGAGTCTCAAAATGAAACTACATCTGGATAGATCCAATGGCCTGGAAGTAATCACGAGCCAACCACCAACAAGCGAAGCTGACTTGGCTCTTTGGACCAAGAAAGATCGATAAGCCAAACAGCTCATCGGCTTATTTATCGAAGGCAATCAAACCACAAAAATAAAAGCAGCGAAGACGGCTCAAGAGATGTGGACAATTTTCGAAGAATACTACGGAAAAGCTAACACTGCCAACCGTCTTATAGTTTTCAAACAACTTTGCCATATGGAAATGGAAGAAGGAGGAAATCTCGAGCAACACCTAGATAAAACGCAGGAAAAAATGGAGAAACTAACTGATTACGGTCACAATTTCTCTGATCTCGACATTAATTCATTTATTCTCGGAAGTCTTCCAGACTCATACGAGACCCTTTTTAATACTTTAGAATTCCGTATAGAAAATGGAACACCACCATCAATTGTGAAAAACAAATTAATATCCGAGTACAAGAAACGAAAAGGCCGCTTGGAAAGAGAAGAAAGCGATTCCGCCCTTCGAGTATCAAAACAAGTCGACGAGTGTTTCTTCTGCCGTCACAAAGGTCATGTTATGAAGCAGTGTAGAAAATATCTAAAATTCAAAGCCAATAAATATAACGCACACGCAGAAGACAACGCAAAGGCAGCAATGGAACAAAATTCCACCGATAGTGATGACAACTGGGAATATGCAGTAGCCTACAGTGTGCACCAAAACAAAAATACGCACGAAGTCAAATCTGCTATATGGTATTTTGATTCCGTTGCCGACAACAAATATGAATCCATCATTCACGTTGCCAATCAAGAAAAGAGTACGGTCTACGGCATTGGAAAAGGACAAATCGAATGTATTACTTCCGCCGGCAGTACAGAAACCCTTCAGCTCAACAATGTCCTCTATGTGCCTGAATTTGAATCGGGACGTATATCTACGGCAGCTCTCGATTGAGAAGGATACAGTGCTCAAATAAAAAG